GGCATACCTGCTTAGCCCCATCCATTTATTATGGTTGGCCTAGTAGCAACTTAGCAGGTTGCAGACATAGTGATGATTTGCAAGGAGCTGGGCAATGCAAGGGAGCTTGGGATAGCATCTACAGATTCTGCTTGAATTCAGGAAAGGAGAGTAACAGCCATCTACTGTCTGGTAGACTAACCAAGGTTTGTATAACAGACTGTGATTTAAACAAACGACAGATTATTGTGACAGCTAAAAGCAGCCATATTGCCCTGCTTTTTACTTAACCCACTGGAAATTCGACAGATCACTTACACTCCCATCATCAACTGACTTCACTAGATACTGCTTCAGGAGAGAGAAACCCCAAACCTTCTTTTCTTTATACGGTGCTATTTGACATTCTCTAGAAATATACCACAACCCTCCTATACGTTCAACCCTATTACCACCCTGTTTCAAATAAACTCAAAGTAAGGTCAAAATCTGTAGATTATATAGGCCCCGGGCACAAAGGTGGGATATCGCGGGGGGGAGGCGTGGCTGTTTGCCCCGCAGCAAAATAACGCGCAACTGCGCGATCAGGTGTCCCCTCGCCGTCCCATAGAGGTCCCGTGGTTAGGGGGGAGGTGCCAATCATACGACGCGCCAAAGAAGCGGCGCAGCATGGCAAACGAGGTTGTGTGGGGTTTTTTTTAACCTGAAGTATGCGCATGCCCCATTGGGTGCTTGTGCGCATCCCTGGAGACTTCGGGGGGGGGAGAAACCCTTTTCGCAATGGGGCATGGGCGGGCGCCGGATGCCACCAGAAACGCGATCAGATGCCCGCCCTTGCCCCGCGATTTCTGAAAACTAGTACCTCCGAGGTACTAGTTTTTCACCACGCATCTTCGTAGGGAAGCCTCGGGTTCGCCACGGGAGCTCTACGCTTCCCAGATGTGGCGGTGAGATCGTGCCCGGAAAATCCGCCTATCTTCCATCGCAGTAGCGTGGCTACTGCTCCGTGTGGCTGCAGCCATAGATTCTTTTTTCTTTTCTTAATTCATGGTATTTCCAGGCCCACAGTTGTTGGCAACCCATGCTGCTCCACTGCAGAAGCAGAGAAAAAATATTCCAGGGAAAGTCCAGTAGTAAATGGGTTCCGACGGGCCACAGATGGACTTTCCCCATGTGATTGGGATGGTCTGATCAGGCCATCCTGGCTTGGTGCCATTCCCCCCACCCTTCGCAGTATGCACATCATTGCATACTCCACAGGGGGCCCTCAGTGCGGAGGTGTGATTCCTCAGTTATGTGCATGAGAAACAAATGGCCAAAAAAAAAGAGACTCACCCGCAGTTGTGTCTGATCACACTGTGACAGACTGTGCCCGCTGCTACAAAGGGCTGTGTGATCTCACAACTGTGTTTCTAATTGATCTAGAGGGAAAAGCCTTGTTTCCCCCACCCCCCGCTTCATCTGGCACATGTGACAGCAACCTTATTTGACTTAGAGGAAGTCTCTTTCATCAATGGAAGAGATACATTGGATCTAGTTCTCCACTTGCAGTGGTCACTTAATACATGATGAGAAAGGTCTCATTTCTCTTAGTTTTTCTAATAAAAATGAATCATGCCTTTCCTTGATAGAAAAATGAATGTACTTACTCAAAATAATGAATTTCCAGAAATAAACTAGTTTAATACGAACAGAATAGGGTTGATGATGCTACAAATCCAAAAATCTGCCAATAGTTTAATTATAAATGCTGCCTTTATAAAGCACACACTTCAGAAATGAAAACAGGGATTATTCCTATGATTGGCCAGACTTAAAATAAAGCTATATTTAGAAAGAGCTAGATGTGTGAAAAAGCAATGAGATATTGCTCTCTGTTTTAAGGGATTACTATGATAGTCATAATTCTTCTTAAAAAGGAAGGCTTTTCTGAACAATACAATGAGAGTAACAAAAGTAGAAAGTGCTAACCAACGGGAAAAATACTCGGTTGAAACATTTTTGTCTTTTAAAAGCTACAGCTCGTTAACATTTATATTGCAACATGTGGTGGTTATGTGATAAAGCACAAAAGTATTGGGCTTGGATTCACGAAATTATACCCAAAAAAAATTAAAATCTTTTGTACTTTTTATACCGGAAATATTTTTGTTAAATACTGAAAAATGTAAAAAAAAAAATATTTTTTTTGAAAACCTGAAAACTGTAAAAAAAAAAAAAAAGACTCTTCTTATATTGTATTGTATGCTAAACATTGGAGATCAACAGAAACACCTTCGAGAAAAGAACTTTTAAGTAAAATGTTAGAAACTGCAGAAATGGACAAACTAACTCTGATTTTGAAAGGATAACAAGAGACTGTATTCGAGAATACATGGTCAAGATTTTACCAATGGTTTGAAGATTATTCCAAGTAATCAACAGAGCCATTTAAACTATATTTAAGGACATTTATTCTATAAATAAGATATATTTGCTAGCAACAAGGTTATTGCTACAAGGTGAAATATACAAATTTATGATAAATCAGGCATCAGTATGATATTGAAGAAATGGAAATTGAATTTTCCCCTTTTATGTTTGTTTTATATGTTGAAAATAAAAAATATATCTATTAAAAACATTTATATAGCAACTCAGCATGAGATCAAAAAGAAAGAGGTAATACTGGCTGGGAAGGCAGAGGCCTTGAAGGACAGCATTCTTTCCACCTGGTGGAGTTCAGATGACCCTTGTTGACTCAGTTAAAAGCCTTGGGGTTATACTGGATCCCATCTTATTATTGGAGAAGCAAGTTAATATAGCTGCAAAAAACACTTTCTACCAACTCAGTCTAGCCTATGAGATGGCCCTTTATCTTGATATGGCTGATATGGCCACCTAGATTAATGCCATAGTAACATCAAGACTAGACAACTGTAATGCACTGTACATTGGTCTCCCCTCAAAATCAATCCAGGCCCCATTCACACGGAGAAGTAGCCACGCTAAAGACATGAATGTCAGGCGGATTTTCGGTGCGCGATCACACCACAACATCTGGGAAGCGTAGGGCACCTGTGGCCAACCCGTGACGTCCCGCCGAAGATGCGCAGTAAAAAAGTACCACGGAAAGTGCACTAGTATCCAGAAAACGTGGGGCAGGGGCGGGCGTCTGATCGCAGGAGCGCTAGTATCCCATGGCATCCAGCGCCCCTCCATGTCCTGTCGCAAACTGGATATTTTTCATAAGCACATGCACACAAACAAGTAACTGAAAGCAGTGCTGCTCCGCGGAACTGTGCATGCACATAAACACGAAACGCTTGCCGCACGACTTCTTTGCCACACTCCAGCATCCTGTGTGATTGCCAGCTAACAACACTGCTCCGCGGAACTGTGCATGCACATAAAAACAAAACGCTTGCCGCATGACTTCTTTGCCACACTAAAGCATCCTGTGTGATTACCAGCTAACATCATAAGCGCAAAGCATCGGGGGACTGTGTGATCGGTCTACCACACTTTATTTTGCTCCAGGGCTAACAGCCACGCCTCCCCCCCCACGTTATCCGGCCCGTATAGCCGGGGCCTCAGAAACTCTAACTAGCACAGAATGTTGTGGATTGGCTATTATCAGGCACTAGACAGAACATACACATTACTCCCATTCTGCATACACTCAATTGGCTGCCTATTTGTTAATGGGCACAATTTAAAGTACTGGCTATCAAATATAAAACCCTTCATGAGCTTGGTTCCTCTTATCTGCAGGACTGCAGCTCCTCCATATACTCTGCCACAACAGCTTCACTCATGTGAGCAGGGGCTTCTGCAGCTGCCAACCTGCAAATGGGTTAAATCAACAACTTCCTGTACATGTGATTTCTCCTTTGTAGTTTCTACCTTATAGAATGGCCTGCCTGAGGAGGTCAGGAAGGCTCGTACTCTCTTGGCTTTCTGTGAACTATGCAAAACAGAACTATTCAAGATGGGTTTTCTATGCAGCCAATAGGGTTGCACTGTACAAAATTATTAACAAAACTACTTGGGTAAATTATTAAGGACTGTGATCTGTACTACTGTATATAGTTTGCTGTAAGAAGGATCTTACTATGCAATTTTTGCATCATTTAATGAGTCATGTTAATATTTTGGCTTTGCTCCACTTGTTTCTGTTTTATTCCAGACTTCTACAATCAAAATGCACTGATTATTGAATGCCCCATTTTGTTGATTGTACTGACTATGGCTGCAGTCACACTAAATAATCCACTTTCATTGCACTTTCCAACTGGATTTTGCCAGTACACATAGTAAAATCCAGTTGGAAAGTGCACTGAAAATGGATTATTTAGTGTGTGTGACTGCAGCCTATGTGTAATCCATAAAACATAAGAGAAGCCATGTGGGATCAAGCCAATGGCCCATCTAGTCCAACACATAGTGGCCAAAACCAAAGTTCCATCAGGAGGTCCACCAGCAGGGCCAGAACTCCAGAGGCCCTCTGCCTTGAGTTCCTGTGAGAAAGGCAGACTATAAATAACATAAATAAAATTTACCCATGTAGGATTTAACTATTGCAGATAACTATTCATTATAATTTTGACATGCATCGCCAAATTCAACACATTGTAGCCCCTTCACTTCAATGGAGCTGGTCTCAACTAAACAAAGGATATTCACTCATCATTACCAAGCAAAACTGTGGCATGTTTTTTTTTACTCTGAACTGCCTCCTTTCCTTTTATATTACATGGCCAAAGGATAGAAGGGACCTGGTTATAGAAAAGTAAAATTTTCATACATGTTCTCAGCCAGTAAAATTTTTATAATATTCAAAACGGAAAAATAAATTCTATAGAGGAGGCTGCAATTGCTTCAAACATATAAACACACAAATAACCCCAGCATCATGTCTCTTAAAATAATTGAAGAGAGCTTCCTGAAAAGACTGGCATCCTTTGGAAAAGTTTACACATTCCTTTTACAGCAGAAACACCTGCTTATGGAAAACTATGTAAGAATAAAACAAATCTCACCTCTGTCACAATTTTGTTCGTCACTATTGTCCACACAATCATGGATTCCATCACAAAGCCATCTGATAGGGATACAGTGTGCCTTATTTTTACATCTAAATTCATCTTCTTTACATTCTGTTACACAATCCATCTGTTTAAATATATTTATATACAGCAGTATTTATCAATAAGACAAAAGAATTATAGACAGATCAATCAGAACTCAGCAAACTGATACATTCATTCAACATCTTTCCTGTCTGGAGACAGAGGAAGGGTAATAGTTGGTTGACTGAAAATAAAATGACATCACTGAATGTAAGTAACTGAAATTGCACACAGTTCTATGCTGTATCATGAAGATGGAAAATATAGCATTTGATCCTATGGACTTGAAATAGGCTTCTCTGCTTTCCCCTTTGGAGACCCTCACAGCACAATGACTACAGTGAGGAAAAGGATTTTTGGCAAATGGAGACTCTAGTGCCAGCAGAAGCTCAGCCACCAGATGGTGAAGGGGCAGTTTCAATCTGCTTGCTTTCCTGACTTCACCCCCACCCCCACCATGGGTAAGCAAGGATTTGAGGAATCACAAGTGTGGTTGTGGGTAGGTGAAGACAGAAAGATTACCTCAGTGCTTGTAAGATCCAATCCATTATGTTGCTATTTTTTCATTAACCCAGTGGTTCCTTACATGAATAAGCCAAAAAGCACACAGAGCTCCCTATCTGCATATGGAAAATTCTTTATTATTCACATCAATGAAAGTTGCAGCTGCTCCTTCATTCAAATGAATGGAGATAAATTTGCTCATGACTGCATGATGCAACCAATATGTGTCGGATCATGGAAGCACAACTGGACTTGTAGTCAAATGTACATAAAGGGAACTCACTTTAAAAAGCGCTTGTTTGCTCAGCGCTGCAAAGAAGTGCAGCAATGGGGGAGAAGAAATTTCCGGTTTCCCTCTTGCCTGGTTTTCAGCAACAAAAGTGGTGGTGGTATCTTTTCACCCCTTTTCTCTAGCTTCACGTGGCCTTTCTAGGGTGAGAACCTATTTTGTTTGGTTTGGTACTAACTCTCCTTACTGCTTATAGTAATTGCTGTATGTCCGTGTGTGTGTGTGTGTGTTTTTTTAACATTGATTTTAATCTTTTTAATTGTTTGCTGCCTTGGGGGCCCTGATTGAGTGAAAAGGTGGAATTAAAAAGTTTTAAACAAATAATAGTTCAGGTCAAGGGCAATGAATTGCTTACCTCATCAGAACCATCAGCACAATCATATTCTCCGTTACACCTTAAAGATGCTGAGATACATCCTCCATTGGAACATACATATTCACTTGAAGAACAGGTTGGTGATGCTATTTCAAACATACATTTGACATTAGGCAAATACAATAGACAACTGCATCACAATTATTAAGATTCATCATTAAGACTGGCATTTACTTAAAATACAGATCTACTGAGTAAGATCTATCTTGATGCATCCTTCCTCTAAGGAGCTCAGTATGACATACATAGTTCTCCCTAAATGTAAACAGAAATTGCATTCTTTCCTTTATCTAAACACCTCTGGTTCTCTAGTTTTGTCAGGATTAAAAGTGCCTTCCCATTGGATGGCTACCATTGACCATCCAACCAAGTCTCATGCTTCATGAGAAAAGGGACTGGGGCAAATCAATCCCCAGCTCAACAGCCATGAACGCCTCTTTTGTCTGTAACATAATTAAAGATTCTACCATAGAAGAGACGTAAACTTCAACTGCAATTAGCTCTGAAAATTTTGCATACCAAGTATGCATAAATTAGTTTACTCCAGGGGTCATTTCATAGAAAAAGAGCTAGGGGGACTCATTAGCATAACTCATTAGCATATGCCACACCCCCTGCCATCACCGGAAGTGTGTCCTCCCCACAGCCGGCGGCAACCTCCAGCAGGCACCAGCAGGGAGCTCCAGGCCCCGCCCTCCCGCACCTCACCTGGGGGGATGACGTCCCCCCGCGTCCCCCCCCAAATGACCCCTGGTTTACTCCAATGTTTGGGTGGTATATAAATTTCTAGATGATGACTTACGGTAATGAAGCAACTTTCTCAGAATGGAGCTTTTCTCCATTTCAAATTGTTACCACCACTAACAGGGACATTTTACACAGTGAAGTGTTGTACCTTTCAGCAGTCCAACAGACTGAATGCAACAGAAGAGAATACAAGCCAGTGAGACCACCAAAGCATGGGCTTGCAAACTGTTTGTATTTGGGAAAGACTCCATTGTTTATTTTGGCTGCTTTGTGAGTCTGTGTGTGCATCCCTTGATAAAGCCATGCTTGGAATGCTAACAAAGCCTGACATGGGACTTGTGGGGTTATGACAAATTCCACTTTCATTTAGTGGCAGCGCAGCTACTGGGGAATCCTCTGAAGGCAAAAGAAGAGGATGAGGAAATGAAGACTATATTCAGGGGAACTGCACTGCTGTATTTTTATTTATCTTTTTTAAGGGAATGGAAAAGTTTCCAGGTTCCACCCCCAAAGTCCCCAGGTATTTCCTGAGTTGGACCAGGCAGCTCTACTTTTGAGTCACACACTGGGTACGCAGTGCAACTATGAATATGGTATATTGTATCAGGCAACATATTACAAAAACATCATTTTAGTTGCTGACCCATTTTCTTACTGCCAATACGGGGGTTGCCATTTGTAAAGAAGTACCTGGTTCACAATTTTTCTCATCCTCTCCCAGTATGCAATCATCGTGTCCATCACATTTCCACTTTGCTGCTATGCATTGACCATTGGAACACTGGAACTGGTCTTTTAAGCAGCCAGAATCACAATATCTCTGTCAAATATAATTAAGCCACTAATTTAATGAATGTACAATGTAATATTAAACTTCAACAGTACAAAATATTTAAGACCTATTTCTGAAAAAAAACAGTGTTTACAACTTCTCTAACAACACGGCACCTGCTTCTGAATTTAGCAACAGTGATTTTTAACAAAACCCCAAAGAGAATAGTCAATATAACTGGGAAGAGAGAGAGAGAGAGAGAGAAGGGGGGGATTAAATGTCAGTTATTCTTATAATAACGGTGATCCAGAATGACAACCATGTATTAATAAAAAAATCCTCTCAATTTATTTAATCACAGTTAAACAGTGCCTTCACCAAGAAACTTGGAAAAACAATACCCACATCCCAAAATTTTCTGCTACAAGTGATTGCTCTGGGGTGAGCTTAGGAAGCATAAGAACGCCCTTAAAATCTATCATTCCCTCCATTGCCTTCCTCCCCTTTTGTTTTCCAGCACCTATATCAGGCCTGCAGGATGCTGATTACACAATTCTTCCTTCCACTATTGCCCTACTGAAGTTTGAGTGGCAGTTTCAAACACTTCACTGAAGAGTGATGAAAATACATAACAGTTCATGTTTGCTCAACCAAAAACATTTCAAATTTCTTTTTTCAAGAGCATCATGTTATATCGGTATGCTGTAAAGAGGGATGGAAAACATATTTTCCAATATTTCCAGATATATTACTAAACATGGCATCATATGTTTGGGGCACTTATTGCAATAGTGAGCATGGCATTTAAGCAAAAAGCAGCATATTCCAAATTGGTATTCCAGGGGACTATTTCAAAGGTAATGGCCACTGAAGAATTACACAATTTTCAAGGTTGACAGAGAAGAAATTGTTAAACATTTTTTCTGTTCCTTGGCTCAATCATAAACCAAAAGGGAGAAAACAACCAAGTAATCAGAAGGAGATTGAGATCTGGAAGGGCAGCCATGGAGATCCTTAAGTGTAAGGGAGTGTCACTGACGACCAAAATCATGATAATTCATATAGTGGTTTTTCTCTTTATTATTTATTTATTTATTTGTCATATTTATATCCCGCCCTCCTCGCAAGCAGGCTCGGGGCAGCTTACATTACTTGGCACAATGTACCAAGTGCAATTATAACCATTTAAAATTGTCAAACCAATTTACCATTAAAGTGCTCACAATGTCATTAAGTCAAAATGGCATACCATAAGTATGGTACCCAAGTACCCGGCTCAGTGGTCTCCCAATATATCAAGATAATATGGCTCACTTTTCAACTACAACCAGCCCAATGCCCCCATGTTAGTGGTGGGCATTGATGGTAATAGTGGGTGGCTCTTAATTAAAAGCCTGGTGGAAGAGCTTCGTCTTGCAGGCCCTGCAGAATTGCAGAAGATCCCACAGGGCTCTGATCTCCTCCGGGAGCTCCGGGAGCTCATTCCACCACTAAGGAGCCACCACAGAAAAGGCTCTGGCCCTGGTGGCAGTGAGCCTGGCATCCTTGGGGCCCGGAATTGACTTAATGTTATTGCTTATAGATGAGGCTACCCGAGAGGCAGCAACTATCCAAACTGAAGTTAACTGGCCATATAGGGCTTTAAAGGTAAGTACCAGCACCTTGAAGTGAATTCGGTACGCTATTGGCAGCCAGTGCAGTGCCTTCAGCACAGGCTGGATGTGCTCCCATCTAGAGAGACTCATCAGTAGCCTGGCTGCGACATTCTGCACTAGCTGCAGCCTCCGGATTTGGGACAAGGGCAGCCCCATATATGGTTGTGAAAGTTGGACAATGAAGAAAGCTGAGAGGAAGAAAACTAATTCCTTTGAAATGTGGCTTGGATGAGAGTTTTACAGATACCATGGACCAGCAAAAGACAAATAAATGGGTTCTAGATCAAATTATGTTTAAATTCTCCTATGAAGCTGTGGCAGAACGTGCCTGCTCTAGCCTGCAGGCCCCATTCTGACTTGCCCTCCTTGAGGTCCCCAACTCCTTGGAGGGGCTTCTCCTTTTAACTCTTTGGTAGCCACCACCACCACCTGATCAATATAGGGATTGCCCACTGAAGGGATCAGGACCTTCAGCTCCCCTTCCAAGCTCCGAGGCCTTGCCTCAGTGTCTCCCGCTAGCCCAACACCTGGCTACCAAGGGGGCAGATTAATACCTTGTGCACCCCTGGGGGGATAGCCTGTTGCCAACTGCTTGCCTTCCCCCCTCTTAGGTCCCTTTTAAAATAGTGTATATGAAACAGTGAGTGACTATGTGCTACAGACTACCACTTCTAGAATAAAAAGTTTAAAACATTTATTAAAAATAAAATGTTTACAAGCATACTTTTAGCACCACACCAGATTGAAGGGAAAAACAAAAGAAGTTGGTAAATTGCAAATCCCCTGTCCCACTCTCTAAAACATGCCCTAACTAGATGTTAAAATTAGGACAGGCTCTTTATCCTAGGTGTCCTAGTTCTCTAAAGATCCTCCATTACCTTGAGGGTTAGTCCAGCTCTCTAGGCCAACTGCATGGTCCAAAATGGAAGCCTGCTCTCAACCTCAGACAAGAGGTCTGTTCAGCTCAGCATCCCAAGAAGAGAGACCACCTTACCTTTGCAAGGTGGTTTTAACAAAATTGTGCCTCCTCCCCCTTGACCCCAGTTAGCCCAGGTCAAGGCTTCTTTTCCTGTTATCTCCAGGAAGTCCCTTCCTGTTACCTGTCTAGTAAAAAGTTCTCCAAGCCTCTGCGCTCCCTGCTTGCAGAAGGGGGGGGGAGGGGGATGACTGACCATTCCTTTGTCTAAAATCGATTAGCATCTGTGTGCAGGTGAGCCGATGTGCCAGCGAACTAAACCACACAGGGAAGCCCTGCTCGTTACCAACCTCCCGCCAGGAGAAAATGCATTTATCCACAGAAGCTAAAATGACTAAGTATAGGCTTTCGTACTTCAGTAATATCACGAGAAGACAAGATTCACCGGAAAAGACAATAATGCTAGGAAAGTTTGAAGGCAGTAAGAAAAAAGGGAGACCCAACATGAGATTGATGACTCGATAAAGGAAGCCACAGCCTTCAGTTTGCAAGGCTGTTAATGATAGGACGTTTTGGAGTTCATTAATTTATAGGGTCATAGGGTTATTAATTCATAGGTTTGCCATATGTTGGAAGCAGTTCGATGGCACATAAATATTTTGCATGTTAACTTGGATCTAACTGGGATCCCCATGCAAAATTCCACCTGGCTTGTACTACATCTAGTTTTCCCATGCAAAGAAGAAGAAGTATCTGAAGAAGTGAGCAGTGACTCATGAAAGCTAATACCCTACCACAAATGTTATTAGACTTTAAGCTGCTACTGGACTCTAACTCTTTTTTACTGCTACAGGCAGACTAACACGGCTTCCCTTCTTGATCTACCCCCATGCAAAGAGTAGACTTGTTTCTTCACAGAGCAGGCTGTGGTGCATTTCTGTTATTCTTTACGATTTAGTTCCCAGCAAAGAGCTAACTTGCTTGCTATTAGAGATGCCAAAACTGTGGATTTTTTGTTCTTTTGGGGTTATTTAATACTTGAGGAGCCCTGTGTGGTTCTTCCTTCAGTTCTCCCCTCCCCCCAAACAAAATTTGTATTTAACTCTTCTGTCAAAGTGTAGACATCTGCTTTATGCCTGCTCTGATTTATTGAACTGTCTCTTGATATGTAAACTGCATTAACTACTCCGTAATTAATTATTAAGCCCTTTGAAAGAAACTGAAAGTGGGTGGCAACAGATTGTAAAATGCTTTGAGCTCAGTCCTTCCACACTCTGGACTGTAGTCTGAAGCTCTTATCTAATAGTTTTAGACTATTTATTTCTTCATTTACAGACAACAACTGTGACCAATCATTCTGCATTCTTGGAATACCAAAGGAATGATTGACTTGGAGTTGTGCAGCTTAAAAATACTACATAATTGCTGATTGTTCATAGAACTCTGGCAAGTGAAGCCAAAACACCCAGTAACAAAGGTGTGTCTCTGAAAATAAACTGCTGTCAAGTCACAGCTGACTGATGGCAACCTTTCAAGGGGTTTTCAAGGCAAGAGAGAAACAGCAGTGGTTTGCATTGCCTGCCTCTGCATAGGTCCCATCTAAGTACTAACAAGGGCTGACCCTGTTTACTACCAGGATATGACAACACAGAACTGGCATCGACCATCCAGGTCAGGTACCTCTGAAAATTTAGCAATTTGGGGGATAAGATTAAATGAAACATGATGTAGAATATTTGCATATGACAGTAATTGTTTTTGATGGACAGAGCTAGCCACAACTGAGTCTAGTGGTATTTGGGAGATTACAATGCCATGCAAGGGACACTTTCCAGGGAATAAGCCCTTTGAATAGACTTGGGCTGCTTCCACCTCATGGTGTTTTTCCATAGTGATAATGTCGTTGTGACTGTGGGTGATCCTTAGCAATGGATATTCCAAATGGTTCAGAGTAATCTTTTCTCTCTCCATTGGTTTCCCTTTCAGACCTGAGGCACAGTGAAGCTCGCTCAATCAAGTATAATGACGATGTCGCTATGCTGTCACTCAAGGCTCTTTTTTTTAACTTGTGGGAATCTCTGCAACAGTGTTTAGGAACACTGTAGTACCACTGTGTTAGTAGAACACACCAGTCAGTTTGCATGGTGCTGATTAACAATAATGCTAGTTAGGAATCCTTCTAGTACTTCTATTACTTTCATACCCTTCTGCATTGATCCACCTGGACTGGGCTGTTCTACCATTCACTCAACAATTCCATCTGCACAGGCTCTGTTCCCTGTTTGGATCACTGGTGGGAAGGGTTAGATTAAAGTCCTGTAGCACCTTAGACACCAACAAGATTGAAAGCTCCCTTCACCAGACACCAGTAGGAATGGAGATCTCTGTTCCTTTTTATCACAGTCAGAAGGTGGGAGGTGTATTGTAAAGGTGTATTGTTTTGGCCAGAGCTCCCAACAGATTTGCGGGGAGTGGCACATATGCTAGGAAACATTAACTCACAAGTAAGTCCAGAAATGAAAACCTCAGGGCACATAAACCATGGATTCCGATGTCTCAATACGAATACACAGAATTCCGGTCTAAGCGTTTCGCTGCTCGGACGTGTCTCGTCTCGCTCGGATGGAGACGCGCCAAGACCCAGCTGACGGGAGGGGTTCGAGTTCGTCCCGGACCCCCCCCAGGGTCTCTATAGGAGACCCCCAGCCTGGGGAGCTGAGGAGAGCCTCTTCCAAGGGGACGCCCGAGGAATTGAGGCTCACCTTCTTCCCCGATAGGTACCGTCACCACGGAGCCAGCATGGCACCTAGGGACGACTGCCAGAGCAAGCGATCAAGACGAACTCATTAAAAAGATTTCCAAAAGATCTCCAAGGCCACAAACTGTGAGTTAAGCAAAGTTCAGGTGAAAAATAAGTGAATGGAGCCTTGGTAGTAATTGGAAGCACCTAAGTTCGAAGTGCGGGGGGAGGAGATTCCAACCCCCCCATAGGAGTAAACTGTAAAAAATGGTTTTAAAGCAAAAATAAAGAGACTTTGAGCCAAACCAAGCGCATAAGAAGTTAAGGAAATGCAAAAGTTGCTAAAATATACGAAGAGGAATTAAAACGTATAACTTTTGCTTTGTTTTGGAAAGTTGATATTATGGCTGGGAGAGGATGGAGAGCACCGGAGAAAAAACTGGTGACCAGAAATAACATACCAATGACTCCCTCCCAGAACCAGGAAGCATCTACAGACCTTTCTTCACTGTTAGCAAATGCACTGCACCCTCTAATGGAACTGATGACTACTCTCAACACCAAACTAGACAATGTGCAAAAACAGTTAAAGCAAATGGACAAGAGAACCACAGCAACTGAGAAAACGTTGAAAAAGATGGAAAAACAGACTGAGAGTATTAATAAAAGAGTGGATGAAGCAGAGAAGGAGAGATCCTTGGATAAAACACAACTAATACAGCTCCAGCTGGAAAGATCAATGTATGTTCTATGCTTCCATGGTATATCTGAGAATAAGAATGAGGACTTAAAGGAACTCTTGGCGGTTGCCATGGCCCCACTAATGGATTACAAGCAAGAAAACTTAATTAAGGAAATGGATGTGGCGTACAGGACTTATCCAGACTTTATAAAGAAAAATAAACTCCCAGGGGAAACTTAATTAAAATTCATGAAACAATCAACCAGGGAGCTGGTGCTAAAGTCAACAATGGGAAAATCCTTAAAAATCAAGAATGAAGAGAAAAATTTTGAAAGACATCCCATTCGAAGTAAGAAAAAAGAGGAAACTATACAGGATGCTTACTTTCTCTCTGCAAAAAAAAAGGGAATAGTGTATAGATGGCTATTTCCGGAAGAGTTGAGATTTAATTACCAGGATAAAAAATATAAAATTGACTCTGTTCCAAAAGCGGAAAGATTTATGGATCAAATGCTTAATGTAAAAAAGAAGAAGGAAAAGAATTTAAAAACGGGTGCGGAGGAAGAAGAAGATGAGGAGTCCTACTCACAGGACTCAACAAGCCAAACTTCCTTGTCATCAGAATCATCTGAATCGGTGAAAGGAGAGGCCGTTCCCAAACTGCAGAAAACAAAGAAATCTAAGAAGAAAAGACTCTAAAAGTAAAGCATGAGTGCTAAGGGCAGTAATTGTGCCAAGCTAATAACTTTATACTTTTTTATAATCGAACTAATCTCTGTGTACTAATAGGTTAAAAAGGTCTATTTTTAAGCTTTTTTAGATCGTGATTTGTATTAGTCTTTACCCCTTCCCCATATCCAGTAGGAGATTTAGATTATATGTATCTAGGCTTCCCTGACCCATTTCCCATAGTAATAGTGATAGGGCATTAGTACTCCTTTCCCCATTCCATATATGTAGTGTGTAGAAAATGCAAAAAAAAATAAAAAAAATCCCCCTTCGGGGGGCCAAGAAAACGGGAAATAAGCAGAAGGGACTTGAAGTCCTAATACAGGGACTAGGTCTAATAGGCATTATTGAAACTTGGTAGGATGACACTTAGAACTGGAATACTAGGAATCAACGGTACAACTTGTTTAAAATGGATAGACAAATAAGGAGAGGAATAACATTATACGTAAAGACGGTATGTACTTGTGAGGAAATACATGAATCTGAACATGGAAGTTCAGTTGAGAGTCTCTGGGTAAAAAATAAAAGGAGTAAAAAAGATGACTCTGGAGGTCCTGTCCAACTCTCTGATTCTATGAGGACAAGGCTGAGAGTAATGTGACTTGCCCAAGGTCACCCAGCAAGCTTCCATGGAACAAGTGGGGATTCGAACCTGGACTTTGCAGATTTTAGTTCTACACTTTAACCACTACACCACACTGGCTCTCATGATGGAATAGTGTGTTGGAATTCATTTTTTTTTTTTTACTGGCATGATTACATATACAAAGTTAAATAAAAGAAGTTTTTCACTGTCTGCATTTCTTATCTTGCCATTGAAACAATGTTTGGGTCCAATGGTACCTTTATGACCAAACTTTGTTCTACTGCTTCAGACCAACATGGCTACCGGCCTGAATCTATTTTCTGGCCATTATTATTATTTGTCTTATTTCATGATTGTTACTGAAAATAGTTTTGTCGTATAGCCCAGACCTAGATAGCCCCAGCCTAGCCTGATCTTGTCAGAACTCAGAAGCTAAGTAAGGTTGACATAGAGGCAGGCAATGGCAAATCACCTCCAAACTTCTCTTTCCTTGAAAACACTACGGGGTTGCCATAAGTCATCTGTGACTTGATAGCAACAACAACAACAACAAAAACATAGAGGAGGGGAGTGTTAAAAAATGATCTGCCCCAGGTGCCAAATAGGCTAGGTACACCACTGGTAATGTCGATCCCAAAGTGGAAAGGATTTATTAACCAGACAGTAGGTGGGAGGAGATTTCCCATGCAAACATTGATGTCAGAGATAGCAAGAAATACACCATTAAGATGGGGGTAAGGTAGCGACTGCAGAAACTGAGCCCAGTATTGGGAAGAGTTCCATTATGGCAAACGATGCACAAGTGTCTTTGTATTTTCTGTCATCTCAGAGCATTTGTGCTTTTCACCCTCCCTCCCCCCAAAACCTAATTAAAAATAACCCTGGAGCTCTAATAGAAAGGATGTTATTAATACTGAAAGCTTGTTTTCCAGGAAAGGGGAGATATTGGGTGATAGAAAAGTGCCTTATGGAGTCCTGATAATGTTTCTAATTATCATAAACAAAGAAAACTACCCTCTCTTTAAATGTCATCAGTCAGTAAATTTTGGGGAGGACTCTTTCCAGGCAGGGATATAGACACAGTGGGGGAGGGATAACCAGGCAGTGGGGGTGGGGGAGCTTTACTATACAGACATGGAACACTGAAAGAGTAAGAAATGAATTAACCAGTCAGTGAGGTTGGGGAAACTTGCCAAGCACAGAAACATAGACCCAAAGAGGAAGGAATTTTTTGTTGGGTCTTTCCTATACCAATTTGACAAGGGGACAAATTGGTAGAATTAGTATTGCAATTGCGCTGTTCTGTTGCATGGGAGACAGAGCAGCGGCACCCCCACACTTCCTACTGAACATCTTCAGTCCATGCCCCCAATTGGACTACTTTTGGGTTGTATTCCTCCTCATCCCTTCCATAAACATTGCAATATTTGACTGAAACGTACCAACAGTCTTCAGGTCCCCGTTTGTAATGTTAAAGCAGCCGTGGAACTGTGCTGTTCCAGAGAAACATTTCTTTTTAAAAAAAAAAAGATGTAATTTTTTTTTTTTTTTGGCAATAAACAAAGTCATCTGTTCCTTTACAAAATATCGCAGATATCATGGTTTGGCAGGAATTTAAATCCAAATCTGACATACCCACATATTTTCTGAGCCATTTTTTAAAAGTTTTATTAGCAGCAACAGTCCCAGAAGGATGGTGATCTGCTAATCAAGGGGGAGGGAAGGGAAAAAAGAAGAGAAGGGGGCTGCAACGATCTTGACCGAGTGGGGCCTCAGTTTATACTGTTGGATTCAGAGTCCAATTCACATCAATAAAGAAAATATCACAAATCTTTTACAGCTATATAGAAGACATTCTGAGCCATCAGCATGATTGGACGGCTGCTTAAAAAGCTGCTTAACTAGAGCAACAGGCATCAATACTGAGATCAATTTTTGATTCACAGTTGGTCTTTATGTCAAAAATCCTCATTTCATCTCTCGGAAGAATCCACTCAGGACATCAAATTAAAGTTTAACCAATTAATGTGAGAATACACATGAAGGTGCCTTATATTGAATCAGACCATTGGTCCATCAAAGTCGGTATTGTCTACACAAAGTGGAGATGACAGAGATTGAACCTGTGACCTTCTGTATGCCAAGCAGGTGCTTCACCACTCAGTCATGGCCCCTTTTACAACCCTATTTCCAGGGGTCTTGTTGTAGAAAAAGAGCTGCCGGAGCTCATTAGCATAACTCATTAGCATAACTTATTTGCATATGCCACGCCCCCTGACATCACCGGAAGTGACAGAAGGCCACACCCCCTGACATCACCGGAAGTGTGTCAGAAGGCCCGGCTACTTACCCTCCTGCTTCATCCTCATTCCCAAACGGAATGAGGATCGAAGCAGAGGGCGGGGTAAAGAAGGGGGCGGGGCTTCACCACGTGACCGCCCCGCCCCCTAGAGGTTCTCTTCCGGAGCTCCGTACCTGAGAGCTCCCCCCCGACTAGAGCCCTGCCTATTTCATATATTTTATTTCTGCGTGTCTTCAGTCTGTTGGATTATATTTGTGTTTGAGCCAACATGGAGATGGCTGGTGGGTACTGAAGTTGGAAAGGGCTCATTCCGCTTCTCCACCAAAATATGGTTGATAAATCAAGCCTGCCCTTTAGAAAATGCATACCTCATCTGAACCATCTGCACAATCATAGTCTCCATCACACCAGAATCTTGCAGACATACAGTCTCCATTTGAACAGTGAAAGTCTTTCAAAGTACACGTTTGTGGTT